GAGTAGAATAAGCGTAATTTTAAAACTTGGACCTTATAAATCTAGTTTGACAATTCAGTTATTAATTAAGGCATTTTGTCGCAATTATTTTACTAGCCAAAGCAAAAGGAATGCACGATTTTATCAAAATTTCCAATAAAGAAGGGGGTACGATTTTACATCTTGCTGCGGATCATGGATCGGTTGAGGTATTTATGTAATTTGCTCGATAATGCTCATTTAGAAGTAATAGTAAGTAGAATATTAGAAATCAAAGTCTCCATATCATTTGAGTTCAATCTTTTCAACGTTATTGATTAATATTTAAATCGATAACGGAATAAAAAGAAATCTAGTCTTAACAGCAAGTTTTTCAACTTTATTTTAGGCTGCTAGAGTTTGCCTTAAATATGGAGCTGAAATTGAAGCTCAAACGGTACTTAATTAATTTATTCATACCTAGGTTCATTATGAGAATGATATCAGTAATATCTTTCTTTCTAATGATATTATATCGGCTTACGTGACCAAGTCAAATTTTTTAATTTTTTAATAATTCATTCTGTACCTCTAGAATGAACTATTCACACCCCTGCATATTGCAGCTATGAATGGTAAATGCGACATATGTGAATATTTAACCAGTATGGGCGCAAATGTTAATGCTAAAGATAGTGAAGAAAAAACAACTTTACATCACGCTGCTCTGAGCAACAACGTTCTGATAATTGAGAGCATGATAAATAAGGTTAGTAAGTAGGATTCTATTTAATAGTCCTGGCTTTCAAAAGTTAGGAAAGATGGTTGCGTTGCATTTCCCAATTACTGAAATCTTTACGAGACGCAAGCTGAATTACGTACATTTATTATTTGTAACGTGGCTATTAATGAATTACATATGTGACTTCAAAAACTTTTCTAAATCAGTTATCGTAGGAGTTTATTGTGCATATTTAAGCTATAGAAATTTCTTCGTAGTAAGTCATTACAGAAGATCGAATACCTCAATTTCTATGATTTCGGTAGGGAGCCAATATCGAAAGTACAGATAAACAAAATCAAACACCACTTCTTGCAGTGATATGGAAAGGCTGTACGGCTGCTGTCAAAAAGCTATTAGAATTGGGTGCGGACATTACAGCGACAGATGATAGAGGTAGACATTGCTTGCACTATGTCGCCGAACAACATGATCATATAACCATGGATGTATTACTTGAGGTACAGATGATCTAGTTTTCCATATTAACGTACAAAAATTAAAATTTTCAAGAAGATTGCTCCGTTCTTACTATTTCCAGCACGGTGCAAGCTCTCTGGTCAATCGTCCTGATGATAGCGGAGTTCTTCCAACATTTATTGCGGCAGAAATGGGCGCTATTCTTGTAAGCATAGAATATTTTAATCTTGACCTTAGACTATAAAATGTTATTTAAAATAGATTTATAAAAATTAATTCATAATTTGAAATTGGCGTCTAAAATAATACTGGTATATGGTATTAAAATGTCATCGGACGTTTATGTAAGCGACTGAATTACAGGCTTTTCTTTATTTAATTCATGACCGGACTAGTTTATTTAGTAGCAATGCACTCTTAGAATATTTTAACTATACGTAATCTTGATATTTTTAGGTATTATATCGATTAGTAAGGAACGGTGGTAGCCTTGAATTATCCGATGACATCAAAAATACTGTACTTCATTTAGCTGCTATGAATAATCATCGGGATACCGTTAAATATATTTTAGAATATACGAAAATTAAAGATATTAATGCTCGGAATGCTAATGGACAGAAACCAATCCATTTAGCATCAAAATTTGGCCATAATCGTGTTGTAAATCACCTTATAAAATTTGGAGCAGAAATTAACAATAAGTGCGAACATACTGACGGTTATTAATTAATTTTATATTTCATTTATTCCATACATAATTATATTATTTTATTTCTTCAACACAGAGACCTCTTTTGTAATTACCCGCTACATTACGCCGCACGCAGCGGACATACTACAACTGTAGAATTACTGCTTGACAAACGAGCAAAAATTAATGTTGTGGACAGATCAGATGTGAGTAATACTTTAGCAATTCTCTAGCTGAATTGCTATCTTATTTTTAAATGTATACATAAAAGCAGTACTATTTAAGCTGCTAAAAGTATCAGCTTGTGTGTATTAAATCCATTGAAAGTGTTACTTAAGAAATATTTTAGCAGAGTTTATTACCCTATACGTTTCTGAATTATCATGGCCAGTAATAGGCGCAACATTTTATTTATGATGCGCCAACGCATGCTATCTATTAAATAACCCAACATTTCATTGACATACTTGCACCAAAGTCTGAATCGTTAATGCTAATTTCATAAAAATTAATATATCTAAGTGCAGTAAACCATCTTAACAATTCGCATGCTATATACTTAAGTTCCGGTAACGTTTCATATAAAATCGGTGACTAATTTTCTTTATATATACTTTGCTATGTGTAATTAAAGAAAACAGCATTGTATCTTGCTTGTGCAAATGGCCATACTGAGACTGCAAAATTACTCCTAACTCGCGGAGCCGATCCTACAGCAATTAATAATCAAGGTTTAAGCTGCTTAGATATTGCTATTGAAAATAACCAAACCGAAATTGGACTGCAAATAATCAGGAGCAAATAGTTAGTGATACATTATTCAAGTCCAGTCAAGGAGCTTTCTTGATACAGTATATTAAGAAAATATTCGATTTTTTCAACGTAGCTGGGAGAAAGCCATGGAAAACAGAAAATTGGACGGTTATACACCGATGAAGAGATTAATTGAGAAGCTTCCAGATGTTGCTTCGGTAAAAATTCGATAACTTTTGATCACTTTATCTATACAAACACAGCTTCAGCTTTACGTAATCTCAAAGGTAGATTAATCGTATTTTAATCCCTAATCAGAGTGTTTTAACATTGAAGCATCTCAGTATGTATTTATTTTTATTCGAGCTATTTCGAAGTGTCTTCAGTTTACGCTCTCATTTCCTTACTATGCAATATTCTATTACATAAGACCACAGAATTCCTTTTTCTAAGATAAATTCGGTATGTTTGCATCTGTACTTGCCAGTATAAACCTAACAGCTTCGAAATATAATCATTTTCTGTGCATTATCATAAATTTTATTTAACAGTATAGTATAGTATAGTATAGTATTCTAGGTCAAAATTAAAAGAGAAACGCTGTTCCGTACAATCTGTAAAATTACTAATACGATGACCAGCCAGTAATTACCATAGAAATATTTTTATTTATGATTGCTTCTTTGCTTAGATTGTTATGGACCGATGTATAAGCTATAATCAAACCGAAGATGGCAATAAAGAGGTTATTGATTTTAAGAATAAGTATCAGTAAACAAAGGGAAAAATAAATGATCTTATACATGTCGTTACTCAAACTGCTACTTCAAACGGTCACGATGATCACTTTAAACGCTCTATCTTGGTTTATTAACATTATAATTTAGGTTGTATTTAACTTTCGATATCTGGAGTCTCCCCCGTTTGATACAAGATTAAAAGATGTTAGAGATAATTACACCGCTGCCTCTGTAAGATCTTCATTTTAATTTTTGCGTATAGCAAAATTTTGTATTAATTCTAAGTTATATAAAATTATTCTACTGGATACGGCGAATGTTATATTAGTCAATAAGTAAGCTATAACATTTCTTGCAGAGCCTATTAGCTTCACAAAGAGTTGGTTTGATGACACATCCTTTAATACGTGCTTATCGTCATTATAAATGGTTAGTTAACTATGCTATGCATTTGTATTAGTTTAAGCCTTAGGGGTAGATGTTCATCCTTTACGGGGTTTTATCACCTATTAAAAAATTTTGGACAAATCCTTTCATAGGAATACCAGCATCAAATATTTTTATTATGTGCGAATTGCTGTATGCCTACTGTTTCTATTAGCTGTTTCGGTACCTATTGGTTTAAACATTCGCGAATACTATGAATATATTCGAAATACGACTGGCAATGTGGCACCTCCAACAAATAAGCCAGTGCGAGTGGTAATATAAGTCAGCTACTATCTTACTTAATAAATAATCATTCTATTTTCGACTAGAGCTATCTTATGTGTAGATAGTCTGATAGCATTTAGATAGTCCTTGGTAGTTATGAGACGAACATAATCTTATGTAATAAAGTGAAGTTTGCAAGAAACTGTATTTCTTGTTGTATTCTCGAGAAGACACTTTATCACTATGTCATATCTAAAGTCTAAAATCTGAATTGGCAATTTTTAAAACTCTAACTTTTAAAATTTAATATGCAGTAAGTTTATATATATATAAAAGCATACTAGTGCTCATTTTCTCTAATTATCTATGACCATAGCATTCCCAAGAGATATATAACAGATATATCATCCTGACGACGGCGATAATATTCAATGCAATATTGCACATCTTCAAATTTTTGTTGGCAGTGAGTATCTAACAATTCAGTGTGATATTTTCATCTTCAAGTATGAACGAATAATATTCAGCTGATACGCTATTTCAGAAGTATTTTATTGTTTAAATTTTTGCCTTTGTATTTTAAAACCATTGGCGATTCGTTAAAAGAGAGCTGTAGTACTAATAAATAATATTAGTAGGTCGTTCAAATAGGAAGATTTTTATGCACAATAAGGACCCTTGTCTATTATAGATACTTGATCCTTAAGTAGCGTACGATACTGCAGAGGCAGAAATATACTCATATAAGAGAAATTTAGAAAGCGAAATGTCAATTATGTTTTACATTCTCTACTGTTTGATGTAATATATATACCATGCTATACGAGTGTACTCTTGATATATTCGATTTTTTTCAAATAAGAACAGTTACAGCTCAAAAAATGTAGGAAAGAAATAATCCACATATAGAACAATTAATTGCTATTTTTTACTTGATGGATAGCCGAAAATTTATATAAAAAATATATCCCAGTCATTCCTTGAATTGGCCATTGAAGTTATGGCTCTCAGTATAAGTCTTCCATTTGAACGTGAGGTAACCAACCTAACGGTTCAGATTGGAGCTATGTGCATATTTCTAGCAATCGTCAATTTCCTAGCCCAATTAAAAAGGTTTGCATTTTATTATAATAACTACCTCATGCTAGCTCTAATTAAAGTGTAAATATTTCGACGATTAGCATAATATACGATGACCATAGGTGTTATAGATCGTTACGAGAGACAAGGAACATTAAAATTGCTTTATCAATACACTTCTAATTATCGAAACTTCGAGAAGCCAATTATATAGTAGTCCAATATATGGTTTAACTGTTCTATAAAATGCTACGAAATTAGTTTATTTATGCATTGTGATAAATACAGGAAATTCTTAATATCTTCATAACGTAGCTCTTGATATTAAGTGCTTGCACAAGGAGCAAAAATGGAAGGGAATTGCTTTGATCTATGGAATTTTACAATAGTCTATTTGCTCAATAACTTTTTTCAATTATAGGGCTTTCGGTATTGGTCTCTATCTTACTATGTTTATCACCATTATGAAGACCATTATAAGAGCATCACTGGTCATAATTCTATTTTTACTAGCTTTTGCTATTGCTTTCTATATGGTTCTGCGACAAATTGTAAGTTTGAATCAAATCGAGATAAATACAGACAGTTACTAATTCAATTTTGTGGGATCTTCTATCAATTAACACTCTATACACGTAGAACATGATACCTATTTCTTAAATAACATATGTATTAAAATTAGCCTATAGGCACCAGTGTATGAGTTGAATTTTGCGCTTTGTTGACTACCATTTTATTTATTAATCTTATCAACGATTAGCCGGAATTTAGCGAAATGGGATATTCTATTGTACGCGTAATAACGATGATGATTGGTGATATTGGTTTTGCTGAAACATTTCAACAACTTTATTTTAGCGGTCAACTGCAAAATTCAGGATTGGCATTAACACTTATTGTACTATTTGTTGTCGTCATGAATATCGCTTTTGCTAATTTATTGGTAAATCACAAATTGATTAGTTTGAACCCGTAATTTTATCAGAATTGAACACTGCTATATTAAGAATTAAATTATGAATGCAACTGGAGCTGAAATTACGCTGTATTCTACTAGGTTGGTTTAGCTGTTGGAGATATTCATGAAGTAATGCAAAATGCTGACATAAGTCTTATTGAGATGGATTTATCCCTTATTACCGACACAACTACATGTCTCTTACCACCTCGTTTGCGAAGCATGGGCTATCGCTCTTCTTACGTTGTTCGCCTTAATAAACAGACGTCATTTTATGATAAGGTAAAAGCATTAAACAGATTTTAGTATCGTTGTCATTTTACGCCATGATAAATTTATTTTAAATTTTTATATAAAATGGCTGGACTAGGTGCTTAACGCGATTTAATTCTTAGTTCTAAAATTAAACAGCCTGTCGTGCGCTAAACATACGTAATTCTCCTTTTGTCATGAATGGATGCCCGCAAATATTTCCATAAGACGGCAATCTTAGAAAGTTTAACGTTAAATATTTTTTCACTGTTCTATTATTTTACATTACAGTATAACTAATTATGAATAACTTGGAATATACAACATTATGCATGTCTTCTCATCACTTTATGATATCAAACTTATGCGTATATTGCTTTAGCAGGTTTTCATTGGATGCGTAACATTATGAGATTTTAGTACACTATTTTTGCTTTGCAGTTGAGTTCAGTTAGTTTCAATACATATCCTTGCCATTTTAGGAAACATCAAATTTACAGATATTTTTACTTAAAAGAGTTACATTAGATACTTGATGCTACAAAAAATATTCACCTTTATCTATTTTTGCAGTTGAAATGGAACGAGTTAACGGCCGGTGTTAAATTAATACCCAGCGTAGAAGTACTTGTTCCCGATAAACGTGAAAGTCATGACGTATACAATCAAATTAAACAGCAAGAACTACTGTTAGTATAATTACAACTATTGAACCAATAATAGATTATTTATTTAATGATGATATATAAGTAATACCTATGCTAAGGTGTAACTTAATAAGGAATTTGAATTCAAATAATATAGAATTAATGTATGCTTTTTAAAATTAGTATCAAGGCTATATTGGATCGTTTAGATGACTTTCGGTCAGATGTATTTCAACGCTTCGCTACAAATAAAGAAGATATTATCAATGTAAAGAAAGAAGTTCTGGAATCAGTAAAGGAAAGAGTAAAAAAGGATGATGACTATCTACTTTAAGCTAGCAAGCTGGTCTTTTAGAGTCTCGATAATGATGCCCATAAACGTAGCTGCATTGTTACCAATATGAAACCTATCTTTATATGAAGAGAAGCCGGAAAACTACGAAGCTAGCTCTAGTAGACCATTTTGTTATTTATCGATGATTTTGCATTGCAATATTTCTAAACTTTTTTGAATTATCCTTGAGGCTTTTGGGACAAAAATCAAAATAATTTACAAATTTATTTGAAACGATCTTTTGGTAGCTATTTCGACGTAATAATATTCCAATTGAACGTTTTCTAGCTTCAGAAGTGATCGAATCACGTATACTTTACCGTCTAAAAATATGTAATACGATCTGTAATTAATTTGCTATATGTATTTGCTATTGCTGTCAGTGCTTCATTTCAGCTAGTAGTATCTACTTTCTATTCTTCGCTATTACTAAGGTGCGAATGGAACCTTTCTTGAAACTATTAACGGATTCTTTAAGACATCTACAGTAACAATACCAATTATTGCGATAGAACCTAGTATCCAATCGGAAATTTAATCGGTGTTACTTATTTTACGATAAATAATGTTCAAAAACTGCAAATTAGTCATTGAGTTAAAAAAGCTTGTAAACTATGGTAAATATAAGGGCGCCATTACAGTTTGGCCAAATTTGAGTAGAAAACTATGCAAATAGATAGTTGTTTTGTTGTATACAACACCTATAGGACCATCTTATTGACGTGCTTACCTCAGGTAATGTACTGTTACTATATTGCCATATCTAGACTTTATTTTTCATGTTCAATTAATGCCTTCTATTAATTATATAATATTTGTCTTAACTTGAAATATTTTCTCTAAGTTAATGTATCCTCACGCGATTACAGCGCTTTGCAAATACGGATCAGTGGATCATTTGCTGTCTACTAATTTTACTTTATGTATTTATCGAATAATAAGCGAGAAGAATGAATTGAATACTTATTTCAACAAAATTATTTATCTTTGCACTTATCAATAAATTAATTATATCATATTTCATGCTTGAAATATATTATTGAATTCTTAGTCATGATTAACCAAGGATTCAAATAGTGAATCTACTTGATAGGTTTTCTGCACGATTCGATGCTAATTCCGTTTTATTTACACTTTAATATATACCTAGAAGCATCGATTACTAACGAATTGAGCAAGTAGTAAAGTATTGCTTAACAATATCGCTATTTAGCGCAAGTTTTCATGAACAAAAGCAGGAAGGCTTTTATTTGCAACAATTATGGATAAAGTAGCCATCATATACAACATTACTCAAGAGAGCATATTTTAATTTCTTATTCAATAGTGATTGACACACATATGTGGTGATTATAAAATCGACAACTATCACAGAAAATGCTCTTTAAATATACGATAGTACTACTATTAAAATTCCGTTTTAATTGTTACTAACGTAAGTTAAAGAAATTGCTGGAACCATAGAGGGTTTTTCTTTCGAAGTTCTTAATATCTTTTGACAAAAAGTTTTACTCATGAGGCAAAACACAATTGGATTGACAACTGGTTGTAAGAAAGCAATACCATAGAATATATTAATAATCGATGCTAAACTATTTTCATTTCTCATGTATAAGTGAATAACTGTTGCATCCGTTAATGACACCACTAATCGAGTTATATGGACAATGCCTGTTAAAATGAGAAACAAAGTAGTAATGACAATAATTTTTCGTACAGCAAACTGGCGTTTTTGCAAGTTGCCAGCATTCATATTATTTGCGGATGAATGTTGCATAGTAGCACTAGATTCATTAATTGCTTTCACAACGTGGCTATAGGCGTAGATGATGATAATTGCAGGTAAAATTTCTTCAAACACGACGATCGAAATGAAATAGATTTGCCCTGTAAGCGAATGTCCATTGATAGCATCGCAAATATAAGGAAATCGTGGATCAATACCTCCGGTGTAAATTTGTGGCAATACAACCAACAAACCAGTTACCCAACTTAGAATAATTGCTAGTCGAAGGCGAAATGAATTATACAGTAAAGCTTGATACGGTATTTTAACAAAAACGAAATATCGATCAACACTCATTATGACTAATATATGGGTCGAAATATAATAACTTGCATAAATGGTAACACCAAAGAAATCGCAGAAAATTTCTTTCCCAACTAAGGTGAAATCGTTAGGATGTAATAGAATGATTCCCATGGTTGTATAAACGATTAGACATGTGCAACCAAAAGCGTCTGAAGTAGCCATACTAGCTATTAAAATATAGGTCGATGTACGATATCGCTTTTGGCATGCAATCACCGCAACTACCAAGCAATTACCAATTAATCCCAAGGCAAAGATACCAGTAAATAAATAAGTCAAAATCGGTCTTTCACGAAGACTAATTAATAAATTATTGTAACTGGAATTATTCATCGATATCTGGATTGTATTTATTCCTTCTAGTCGGAAAAATAAAATTAAAAGTAGGATAAAATTGGACTTTTGTAAATTGTTTTTATATCATCATCCGACTTAATTGTACACGCATTCGAAAAAACTGGCTAGAAGAATATATATATAGCAGTAGATAGGATAGCGAAACAAATCAAGAGAATGGACTCTATAGAGTAGATGGTAGAAAATCAGCATTGAATCTAATCTTCCAAAAGTTCTAACACTGTCTACAAATAGCATAAGGGTAAATGGTTCGGTCTAATTCTCAGCAGACGTTAAAATCAATTAAGAGAATGAACGTTTTATGCCGTATAGAAAATTCAAAAGAAGTGTGGAACTACTCCTAAATATAGGAAATAAAAGGTGACCATATTCTGAATAAGCTGCAGGATTAGGATAACAGTTAAGATCTAATCGCATGCTTGTGTGCAGGAAATTAAAGAGCTACTTTATTTTTAATGAGTTCAAATTTTATATTATTAGGAAGAAGCGTTAGAAGAATCTCAAAAATCCAATTTTATTAGTGCTGATTAGTGCCTGTGACTAGAATCGACTAAGACAACAGTTACTTTGGAAAATGTTGAAACGGAGAAAGAGATTTCGTTTCGAAATAATTACCGGATTTGAAAGATTAAATCTAATTCTGACTATTATATGTACATTCGATTGAAAGTTTACTTGCAATAGATGATACGGAAAAAGAAAAGGCATTACTTTGTCTATTTTTGAAATGGTTGCCGTATTGTGCTATACTAGAATTCTTCTTAATCAGCCAACAGCTAGTTACAGAATCTAGCCAACTCCATACAAAATATAATACGATCCATAAAATGACTACGTTAGAAAAATGGACACCTGAGCTATAATAGAACCCATAAAGTACCTTCATCAACGAAATAGTTTGGTGTCAAGATAATATTGTAAATTTACTTTAAAAATTTTATATAAAATTACTTTGCCTTCGATAGATGAAAGGTCATTATAACATTAAATAAATAGAATATTTCGTAAACTTGTTGTGATTACTACCTTACGTATAGGAGCTGCAATAAATCATAAGGCCATATTTAAATAAGTGCAAGATCAAACACTTTGATTGACATAAAAGTTTCGAAATAATAGTTATTTTAATTCGGCATACCTCACTGGCAATAATAAATTACAATTTATTTAGTGTCTTTGGACGCGAGAGATGTTCTTCTCTTGAAGAAAGAAAGATTTCTATATTAACTTTGTAGTATGTATGATGTGGTAACTATCACGGCTATGTTGGAAAGAGTATGAAAATAAATCGATGAATTTGTACGCCTAATACTCATCATACCTTCTACAGACTGGGTAAAACAAAAGAATTACCACAACTTTTCTAGAATCGCTATTTTTAAAGCCTATTAAAAATTTCCCTACAAAGGTTGCAGAGGCGATTGTATCATCACTTACGATAATGTACCAGTTATCCAATCAGCTTAGCTGAAAGCCTTTCAATTAATTTGCATAACAGAAAATAGAGTTAATACAAACAGAATATTCAATTTTTTATGTTAACATCGTTTGAAGCGATTTTTCCGTGCAGCGAGAAAAATCAGCTAGAAGTGTTTTAATTTGCACAAGATAAAGTATGGCTAAAATAGCAATTTAATTCAATTAAGGTATCGAGTGCATCCTACTGACTATTGGTTGCCACTTCTTATTTATAATAAATTCAGTTTCTTCCGCATTTGCTGTCACTTCTCCATTTAAAATCCACAAATCAAATTAATAATAAAATCAAATAATTATTAATCAGCTATGAAACCCATATGGTTGATAGGCGGTATAAACACTTAATTTTGGGCTTTATAGGACTTGTTTAATCATATGCTACCCAGTGTTGATTTCTTGGCTCCTATTTAACAAAATATTTCAGAATTTTACAGGGTTAGGTGATATCCATTTAAATTAATAGATAATGCCATAAAAAGTAATTGGACATAAGGAAATAAATGCATTAAATCTAAAGTAATCAAAATTTAATCAAAGTTTTCAGAGGAAATTAAGTAGCTAGATGTTAGAAATTAGCTCCGCCATATGGTAGTGTAATTCTATAGATCAGAAATTGATTTCTAAAACCATGTATCCGGGTAGCATACCATAATGGAATTTCTGAGATTACTTACTCTTAGTCTTACGAATTACGCAATGATTTACACGCCCTTGAGATTACAAGTACATGAAGGACCAAAGTTAAAAATCAACTTGAAGCCTAAACTTTGTAAGTATGGTGGAAATAATCATTACTATATAAGATCTATTCATTCACTTCTAAAATGGCTGCTTTATTTAATCTTACAGAAATAATATAGGCTGATATATTCCAGTCACAAATCAACTTCGTGACAAAGATAACGTGAAACAAACCTCTAAATTAATGCAGTCTCTGGGATTCAGTATCCCTTAACTATCTCACAAGAATTTGGACGACTTTGCTTTTACGTTAAATATTCAGTGTGTATTATATATTATAGAATATGTTGAATAGCAGAATTATCCGGTTAAGGCAACAACCTTTTGGGGATATCTGCGGCATTACATAGTATATTATGATCGATTCCTGCAATAGGATAATTAATCATAAAACCAAAACCACCTTAACTAATACGAGCAGGTGTTGATGCAGTACTAAAGATTTTGATATCCTGTGCTATTCTATAAATTATGCATTATAGAATTCGTTGAATAGCTGAATTAATCAGTCACGGCCTCAACTTTTGAGAGATATCTGCCGTATCACGTTGAATGTTATCGTCGATTACTACTATGGGATAGTTAACCGTAAAACCAAAATTATTTCTGGTAATGCAATGAAGTAGCTGATGCAGTCATAAAAAGTTTTCAGTCCTGTATACTTTTATAAATTATGTGATGTAGATTTTGTAGAATAGCTGAATAATCCTGATATTGAATCAACCTTTAGGGGATATTTGCAGCGTTGCATCGTATTTTATAGTTTGAAGTAACTAGTAACGACCAAATAGTTATTGTTGTATACCTTTGAGCGATAACGATCCAATATGTGTACTTAATATTTTGTATTTCTATCTAATTTCTATCACTTGGAATAGACAGTTTAAAGTGAGGAAAAGCTTCACTTGTTCGTGATTTTGTACCGTACCAAAGGAGTAATATTTTATTATAACGAAACTATCGGACACTATAATTGTTACTTATGTAAAGTAGTCAAACTATAACTTAGCTCGTTCATCTAATTCAAGGTTGAATAACAGGCATATAGTATAATAGTTAAGAGAGTTTTTGTATTTGCATATCAATCTATTTAAACGGCACTACTAAGTCATTTTATCTGATACTTTCATAATCCGCTACAAATTACTTCGTAGATTTAATAAAGATTCAAGACTGGAAGAGAGGCTAATTAGAATATGTTTTGCATTAACCTAGATCACAGCACATTCTGGCAGTATCACAAGCTTTAAATTGCTTAATCGAATAAAAGTTTGAGTTAGGAGGAGAGATTATACTTATTGCAACAATGTATGTATGTCTGTTATAGGCAACAGGATACTTTAACATTAAAATCTGTTAGTACTGTATGGTAAGTTATTATATCTGTTGTTCGCATGATTAAGTTATTAATTAATTTGCAAATTTAATACAAGTTTATTGTTTAGTCTGAAGGAAGGCTGGACCAATATTTGATTTATGTATTTGCATAAATACCTAACGTTTTAATAATCTAGCAATCTTGGCATCCTGTTTGATGCTAAGTAGTCAAGGCATAGCTAAATTCGCTTTTCCGGCATGATTTTATAGTTAATCATGGGGAACTGAATCGACTAAAGTTTCTTATACGAGCAAGTCTGCATAGAGTAGATCTATTTTAATTGTGTTCTTCAAGCGGACCAGTTTAGCTTTAAATAGGTTAGTGTTTCAATAGGCGATAATAATTTCGCAATTTTATATCGTATTCTACCATACGGCATACTGAATTTCTAAGAATTTATCGATCATAATAAGCTTGCTGTAAATGAGTTAAATATTTATTTAAACTCTTAATTCTATCTTTCACAAGCATTCTAGTTTAAAATTTCATTTTTTACCGAGCGTTCTTAGATAGCACGTTGAAGGGATTAATCTACTTTTAGTTACGTCACATTCAAGTAAGGCTCGTATACCCCTTTAAAAATAAGAATTTTAGTCATATAATTGACACCATCCAAAATAATTTGAAGCTAGAAAATTGTTGGAATATATAAAATATTTGATTTTTAATTGCACCAAACCAAAATTAAATATTTAGGGAGTCTAAGAAAAACTTTAGAATGTGAATTAAGAGTGCATTAATCATTGTTCATTCGAAAATTGATGGCCAATCCATTTAATTTCAGTGCAAAATTTACTGGCAACTTTCCTAATTTAGCAAGCGTGAGTCTGTATATTCGATTTAGTGTCGAAATTAATACTTACTATCTGATATTTTGACCATGTAATATCAACAACGACAATAGAAGCTTTCGAGGGTTACTTGCATGCTGTTTTAGTAATCAATCGATGACTAAATTAAATTCCTAGACTTTTTATAGATACAAACTGTGTCAAAATTATTAATTTTTAACCCATCAAAAAGACAATCAAGACTATCGATTGATATTGCACAATCACTTCTGAAATAACTTTATTAACGATAAACAATGTCAACAGCATTTTTTGAATTAATTCAAATAAGCTAACGTTAAGACTATTATAATAATACTTAAGCCGGAAAGATTTAAACATTTTTACTTTAATTAAGGAGCAAATGTTACGCCTATCGTTTGCGATCGACTTCTCTTAAGGGAAGAATTTACGATAGACTTTCGAAATGATTTACTCATCACACAAAATATAATCGGATTTACTACAGGCTGAAGGAAAGCAATTCCATAGCAAATATTGGTTATCATACCTAAAATAGTCTCATTAGCGATAAATAAATTAGCCACGGTAGCATTGGTTAATGCTACTGCTAAGCGAGTAATATGTAAGATTGCAGTCAAAACTAGGAAGACAGCTGTGACGATCACAATTTTACGTATAGCGGATTTACGCTTTTGTAAATTTTTCAAATTATTAACCACGTTACCCTTAATGCTGAAGCTGGATCGATTCAGTGCTTTAATTACGCAAACATACGCATAAACGATAATGACAGCAGGAATAATTTCTTCTATCACCAAGATTAACATAAAATAAATTTGATTATGTAGTAATGACGCATGGGTTGAATCACAGATGAAAGGATAGTTAGGATCAATTCCTCCTGCAGGAATTATTGGCAAGGCAACTAGGAAACCAAAAACCCATGTAAGAACGACAGCTAACTTTATACGCCATGGATTGCGTAATAATGGCTTAAAAGGTGCTTTAACAAATGCATAATATCGATCGATGCTAATCATCGTTAACGTATGAGTTGATGTAAAATATGATGAATAACTGCATACACCTAAGAAATCGCACAGGATTTCTTTAGTAGATAGAGAGAGGTCGTTGGGACGCAAGAGATAGATTGATATCACAGTATAGATAATCAAGAACAAGCATCCAAAAGCATCGGAAACTGCCATACTAGCAATTAAGATATACGTAGATGTATGATACTGATTGATACGAAAAATGGTTAAGCAAACAAGAAAATTGCCGATAAATCCAATAGCGAAAATACCCGTAAATATGTAGGTCGGCAAGACAGTAGCTCGTAGATTAGCTAGCATTTCTTGAGCTGTGGTATTGTTCATGATTTTTCTTGCAGGATTGCTTTCACGTTTAATAGTGTTCAAGGAGAATAAAGCTGACAAAAGACTTAGTCTGTAAAATAATGCAGAAAAATAAGGATTAGCCATCTATTGATATCTTATATCCAGTTTGCTCTTATTATATTTTGTTGTGCATGTAGTTTAAGATAAAAATAGGAGGTAAAATCAATCATCTTAGTAAAAATTGATGTTCCATTACCGGTATCTAAATAGAAGTATAATTAATCATACAAAAAGTGCTAATAACGAGATCTTTTTAAGCCCGCTGTAATCTAAAAGTAAAGTTGAAAAACTATAGCTTAGAAATGAATTGGTAACCTGTTTAATAACGATATAAATTTGCTGATTATTATGTGATCCAAATACCAATCTATCTAATGATATTCTATTTATACATTATTCAGAAATAGCAACATTTTCTTCTTGCGATATATTATCTAATCCGATCTTATTTTCCACTGAAAGTATTTTTAATTTTTGATTTACACAACATTTCACAAACAGCAAAATCTTAAAAGGATTATTTAAGCTTTCCTATCATGCCAGCTCAAGACAACCCTTGTGGTTTATATAGTAGATTAATTTTATCGACGTTACAAAGAAAACTAAGAATATCATTAAGCTTACGCTATCAGTTTCATGATAAAATATCGACGATTCTATAGTGATATAAAATAAAATTGCTTAATATCGTGTTATTATCCTTCATAAGAAAACTATTAAGTAAAAAATATTTTGCAAAATTACTAGACAATATTAGTTCTCATGCTTTGTGGAATAAGTAATTATACTGTAAAATTCTCACTCCAAATTTCAGGGTGATTATGTTGACTTTGCAGTTGTGCAGATTATGTAATTACGCGGCAAAACACCTGATAGAGTCATAAAACGCCAGTCTCTATGTCATACGCAAATAATTGATACATGTTAAAATTCCTACCGTCAAATGGAATTGTTCAATCGATTTTACAGTTTGTATAATCTGATATTATATCGTAAAATCTAATTTCGAAATGGCTACTTGAATAACATCAATTCTAGCTTGTATTGAATTAACGTGTGATGCAGTAGATACAAATAGATAGCTTACTTGGCAGAATATTATATCGACTTCGAAATTATTAAAATCCGCAATTGTATAGCTGATTCTCATTATTAAATATTCAGCAAAATAATAAAACAAGGTCAATTTATATTGTATATAAAAATTTTTAATTCCACCCCAAAATCCCTACCATCGAGTACCATTATCTGAAGGAATGATTTTATCGACTTTGATACTACAAGGAATGCAATGAATGCTATTAAATTGCGTACTTGATGGAATGATTACGTCGACTTCGAAATTATCAATATTTCGCAGTTATAGCTTGATTCTTATATCATATATTCAGTAAAATAGTAAAAATCATCCGCGTCAATTGATATTTATGTGAAAAATCTCTAACCCAAAAATTCCGGCGAATGAAGGAATGATTATATCGACTTTGATGCTATAAGGAAAGCGTAATTATGAAATAGATTGATAATATCAAGTACGTGGTGTGAAATTAAAATTCCCATGATAATAAATTGTCTCTTTCTTAAACGTAAACACTAATTATATGCCCTACTTGAAGTTTTTACGTAATTACTACATATCTAGTTATTATTGATTAGTATACTACAGTATGGAAGTATCCTTAATACTAAAATATCAAATGGCGGCATAATATGATGCCAGAATATAATGTCAATAATGACGGCACGAAAGGCAGATATTTTGGGTTGTCATATTTGTTTATTCTATTACAGAAAACATTCATTTACTGTATAAGAAGTAGATGATGATTGTCGCTTTTTATTTATGAGATGAAATGAGCGAAATGTGAGAAATTGGTTAGTAAAATAACATTCAAGGCCAAACACGCGTACAAGAGAATAAATCGATGTCAATCTACAATCAAAAGAAATGTACCATAAGCTGTGGTAAGTCTTTAGATTTCCACTTGCAATATTCTAAAATTCTCTTAAGTTTAGTTTCCGTTTACAACTCTCGTTTACTAATATATATCATTACCAATTGAAGTCAAAAATTGTAGTTGCTCCGTCAAAGATCGAATTACATATTTCTTGTCTATTATAATTGTTGACCTTGGTCTCATTCCATAATATTATTAGCTACATTTAGTAAAAGATCACTATCGCTCTTACATAGAATTCAATTCAAACTGTGAAGGAACTCGACTCTAATCAGACTCATGAAAGCATTTAATTAGCGTTTATTATTGCGAATTGCTTACTGTTAACATGATAGAAATGAAATAGAGAGATTAGAATATAAAATGAAAGGCAAAATTCAATCTTTCATGCTTGATGTTCAATTATAATTTCCAAATTTCTATATTGGACTGCCTTATTTAGTTAATTGATCTCTATCATAGATAGCATCAATAATGAAGACAATGAGCTAAGGTAGTGTTGCCATATACTGTAAACAATGGTTAACTGAGTCATTCACGGTCAAAATAATTTTATTTTATAAAAGGTGCTAGAAATTTTCCGGTAGTGGTGGTTAGCAAGACGCAGTGATAAGTATGAGTGGAATGGCTTAGTATTGCTATCCAAATTTAATTTTTATTACATTTCAGGAAAAGACTTTACCGAATAATAATAGAATTTATTAGCTTTTTCGATGTTTACTCTACTATCATTCAATAATTTAACATTGTGGATAATATGGAACGCATGGGCAACGACGAATATGTAGGCACATTTACCACTTGATGTTTCCTCAAAGTAAAGAAAGCTTTCATGAAATTAAAGTATAAATGATCAAAATATGACCACCAATCCCGTAAATTGGCTGGAATAGAGAAGTTAGTGCTCAAGTCTTGCATCAAAAATGTGTAGTGGATAGCATTTAAACATAAAAAAATTACAATGCTAATTCATGGATATTGTTGCTATTCCATATCGAATCGTAAATTTTAATAGGGCCAAATATATATTGGACTTTTACTAATTTTAAATATATGGAGTAAGACTGTATGAATCATAAGTAAAGGACAAATATTCGCCCTTCAAATCAAGTTGATCCTTTAACCGTGATTTCGCTGTGTCTACTAGAGTATAATTTTATGAGAAAGAATTTGTCTGCACGTAAGTAAATGAAACCAAACATTAAAATATTGTCAGGTGCTTTACTTCATTTTTACGCCAGTTATCATATATTCTAGCAAGATTATCGCAGTTAATTATGACTAAATAAATGATTTCACTATGTCAACTGTAGTACGATTCTGTGAGAAAGAAATTGTCCGCATATGAGTTAATAGAATCAAACATTAAAATTGGAACATTAAAATTCCTCTATGTGCTTTAGTTTATTCCAACGCCAATCTATTTTGACTGAAAAATCACAGTTTATTACGGCAAAATAAATGATTTCGCTATGTCTGATATAATACGATTTTCTGGCAAAGAGTTTGTCTCGATGTTAGCAATGGCGCAAAATATTAATTTAAATATTCCCATATGCTTTAATTTACTCTTACGCTAATCTATTTTAGCGAATTATCACAGTTTATTAATAATAATTGAATAAATGATCACGCTCATCCTAAGAAAGCACATTCATTTTTTAATTATCAGCCCTCCTCCTTAAACTAAAAGGTAAACCAATCTTTTATCCTGGTTGCGAACACTAACGAGATTGATTTAATATTTAAAATAAATTATTTCTGAAGCGAACTGTGATACAAAACGGAGATTACTACTCTGATGACAGTAGAAATTTTAGAGTATTGCTTCTCTAAATTGAATTATGAACTGATTATAGCCACTACCAAGACTACTATCCTTTGATGTTTATCCAGTAAGTATTAAACAGTCTGCATATTAATGGACTACATTCCCCCAGAGTTGGCTATAACTATATGATAAAACCAAGATGTACAGTAATAGATCATTAAGATTATGAATACGTAGATAATTTATCTCACAGTTTTATTTTATTCTTAGAAGGAAACTCTGATATTAATTTGCATATCAGTAATAGTCTTATAAGAGGTAAATTACGGTACCTTACTGGCCTATGCTCAGAATATTTACTGGTACTAATTAACAAAATCGACGATGGATAGCTAGAAAAAATGCTTTTAGTTTCTTTACTGTAACTAAATTACTTTTGCAAAGAAGTCATTTTCAGATTAATTTATAACTAACATTCTGCCTTAAGGTGTAAACGATTGCTGAATTTACTAGCACGAATACAGACACCAATCGGTTTTTAAAGCTTTTCAGTATAACAAAAAATAGGCATTTAAACAGAGATACTAATTTATCTGTCTAACCTGTTACGATGTCGAGAATTGAGAATTAACAGAGGAGAATAACTTGAGTTATTTAAATAACCTGGCAGAGGAATTAATCTTATTGGAATTGTAAAGGAATCAAGCCGCATTAAAATAGGAGATCACATGAATTCTCTGCTTAAATATGTAGAAAGGATTTCAAGACACGTTTTTCTAGGAAGATAAATGAATATTCATTTGAGCCACCAAGAATCTTTAGTCAGGTACGATACATTCTTCGAATTAATAAAGGGCTACGTTATTCTAGAGTAATATAGGAGAATAATTTTATTCGTAACGCTCTTTAGACCATGAATAATTCATATCAACTCTATCCTTATGATGTCAACCATACAATAATAATTTCTATGCTACGTACTATTTGTTATTTTAGTTAGGCATTAATTCTCGTAAACAACAAGTATGCAGATGCAGATGCTGGAATAATTAAGAATAGATACATTTTCATTAATGTTTATAATATTCTAGCCCTGAAAATTTATTCTAGATATATATGAAATTAATATCTATCTATTAAATTATCCATAGCCTGAAATTGGATAAGTTAAATTTTTTATAGATCTCTTGTACTTTAACAATTAACCCAACCTAGGTTGAAATCAGCTGATTAAAGTCTATCCATTAGATTAATTAATTATTTATAGTCTGAAATTAATAAATTTAATTTTTCGATAGATCTCTTATAAATCATAATAATCAAAAGTAGGCTTAAACCAGCTACTAGTAAAGAAT